GTGTTTTATACAACCATGGCTCTTGATTATGTTGTATTTTAATCTTTGATCCTATATTAAATGCAACAAAACTTGTTACAATATGGTATATCACAATATCAAACCACAATCTAAATAATTCTTTTGACCATAAATAGAAGTCCTTCAGATAGAAGTTCCTCTTTATCTGATAAGCCCTCTAACCACCTCCTCTATTTGTTTTATGATTATCAATATTTATTACTTTTTTGGACCATGTTAGTGAATATTTGATAGCAGATGCTACAAGGTTAATTTTTGATACATATTCTCATGATGTGACCATATATTGCATAAACTGCAACAGATCTTTTAAAAAATTTCCTTGTTTTAAGTTATCAGATTCATAACTATTCCGAGTTAAAGTCTCAATGAACTTCCACAATAACTTGATATGTTGATTTAACAAAGCTTGAGGTGTGTATTTCATAAGATTTTCTAATGAAAATATATCGCTATTTTTAATTAATAAATTGATGTCACTGTAAACTGATTCACATTCAGCAGTAAAAATCGAACTAAATCCACCTTCTGTCAACTTTGTTACATAATCAAATTGCTCAAAAGGTATCCATTCTAAAATATAGCCTGGCAGAGATGATTTCATTTTGACATTGTTCAATAAAATCATCAATTATGTTATTCCCAGATGTCCAAGTGGTGAAAAGACTAAAGCTCCGAAACGGGCTGGGCTAACCCGAAACCCGAAAACTTTTTGGGCTGTACCAATTATACTTGAGATCAAAATTATTAAATTGCAATTAAAAAATCCTAAAAATTTGCATTGCACCACCTATCATAATTTTATACAATTGACACAAGATGCAATTTATTAGCTAAAAAAATCTTTTTAGCTATGAAGCATTGTTGTTACATTAAAATTAATAAATTAAAAAGTTTTCATCCAACAAATAAATAGTTTTATATGTGGTTAAAGTTTGAATTAATTCATACACACATCATGATTGTGTTTTGTGTAGTGATGGTGGCTGAAATTATTTTAACAAATCTGAAATAGTTTATCTATAGAAATTAGGAATATAGGTTCCTAAACTAGTGACGAAACTTAAAAATTACCTAAAATATGGGCAAACTCCTAAACTGTGGTTAAATTGTCAAACCTATGACCAAATTTTTATGATAAATAAAATGGATTTATCGAAGTGCCATCCAATCGTATTCCGGACATGTGATCTCTATAGTCACTTTCGTTTTGTATTTTTTATTAATATTTTATATTCGCATTTTTATTATTTATTTATATATTTATTAAAAAAGATTGTGATTATCATAAAAATAATGTCATTTTTTGACCCAATTCGTTTTGTAATAATAAAACAAATCAATTCTTTTTTTTTTGTTCAATAAAACACTTTTGTGGTCGGAAATTATTAAACAGTAAAGTGTAATTGACCGCTTGGTTTTCACCTGCAGTTTAAGTTTCGCCAACTTCGCCGTAAAATTAGGCCTAAACTATGGTTAGTTCCGATCATCATCCACTAGCCTTGTGTCTTTAACTATGTATTGTGTCACTAATTGTCTTGAATTACACGAATTGCCTTGAGTTACGTCTTGAGTCACGAATTGAGTTCTACATCTCTTGCATCATGAATTGTGTTTTGCGTCATGCATGACACATATTGCAGCTTTTAAACCACTATAACTGTTTTGCCTTTTATATTTAATTAATTATTATTATCTGAATTTATGTAAATCACAAAATTTTCTTATTAACCCGATATCAACCCGACCCGTTAGGAGCTTTAGGCAGGAGTTTCTATTCGTAGTAGGGTTGGCAAATGTGTGGTCCACAGGAAATGAAAGGGTTGATGTTAATATTAAACAGAACTTCAAGTTTGAACAGCCTAATAACCTATTAAATTATTTGTATCAACCAACAGCCTTGTATTCAATTTACAATTCCGTTATAATTGTTGCAGTTCTTTAATTTGTTTTTCTACTATTTTCAAATTATTTGAAGATACACTCTCATCGTAATGAATCATCATTTTTATTACATACATATGCGCTTGTGCCCTAAAATTCAGTATGGTATGATCATGAATACTTTATACTAGCAAAATCCATTGGTTTTGAGGTACACAGTGAATCTCGATTTAACGGATGCTAATTAAAAATCTCGGTTTTACGGATAAGGTCCAAAGAACGGTTCCATAATAAAAACCTTCTCGATATAGCGGATATCTCAGTTTAACGGATTTTTGGAAAATTTTCCACCAAATCGAGATTCACTGTGATCTTATGTTGAACTTACTATTTCCAACATTTACCTTATAAATGATTATTATACATGTTTTTTTGTAATAAATATATTCTTAACAAATTAACAAATTTTGATTATTGAATTAAACTTGTATTCTTAAAACATAATCTTTACCAATTTTTATTTCATTAATAGCATTCAATAATGTTGACGGTAAGCTTTCTTGATCATTTATATTTACATCTGCCTCATTTGATTATTTTCTTCATCACAATTATCTACATTAAAATCATTCATTGCTCAAGTTATTTACAACGCAAGGTACAACTGTGTGATTGTCCAATCAAAATTGGGGCATGCTGGAACAAAGTGAACATTGGTATTACCAAGGACCTTATCAATGATTTTGTAGATATTGTAAAGGGCATGAAAAAAAATTATATAAATTGAACATTGTTTTGATGGCACTAATATATTAACACATCAGAATAATTATTATAACTATAATAAGCCATTAAATTAATCAGCCAAATAGAATACAAACAAAATAAAAATGAATGAATAAATATAATAGTATATGATATTAATATCCAAAAACTTTATCTAAATATTTCTCATAATCATAACCATCAGCAACATCATCCCTTTGTGGCATTGTTTCCTTAAGATATGATACAACATTCGTTGATAATAATGATCTTTTCAAATCAAGTTCTGTAACAAAAGGTTTATCACTTGCAACAGCTTTAAATGAACTTCTAAGTTGATCTGGCGTTGTTTTGTCTTCTGTGAAACTGACCATATATAGAATAAACTAGAAAAAAAATGAATTAATAAATTAATTACGAAAGAATGACCCCGGAGAATTTTTAAATTTTAATATAATAACATTACTTGTTCAAATGTTGCTTCTGGTTCTCCTTCACACATTTGATTAAATGCTGAAAATAATTCTTCCTCCTATAATTATTTTAAAGAATTTATTAAATATAGTTGTAATGGTTATCATTGATAGAAAAATTATTTTTAAAGTTAGAAAATTAACTTACATTGTAGAAAATACCTAAACTAGCCAATGCTGCTTTGAATTCATAAAGATTAAGTGTATTTGATGAATCTTTATCAAAGTGACGAAAAGTACTTTCAAACTCTTCTAGTTGTGCTGGTGTCAAATTTGTCATATTTCTAGACACAATCTAAAAATAAACAACATCAATATATAGGGATAGGTATATGTTAAAGCTACAGACTAATAAAAAAATGGTTAATACTTGATTTTCAATAAAAGAAATTTTTTTTGTGACAGCCTGTTGTACAAGACCTAATTCAAATTTCAAATCATCTACAGAAAAAACTGTGTAATCATTTTCTTCAATATTAGCTTCTTGACATCTTGCATCAATTTCTTGTATTTGACCAAGAGATTTTTCCAAAGGACCTAATTTAGCTGAAATTGCTTTAACTGTACTAAGTTGAATCTAACGGAAAATATATTAACATTTAATAGAAAATAAAATGTTATTATTTTGATTTGTTGTTATTGATAATACCTCTAATTCACCGTCTAATTCAACCAAAGAATAAGAAATAGATTCCAAATTTTTCTGAAAGTCATTTGCTGACTGAGCAAATGATTTTCTCAAGTTTTCTTTAATACTAAAATATATGAAGCATATTAAACAAAATCCAAATATATAAATTTTCCTATTGGTCTTCTTTTTTTAATAAAAAAGATTTGCTTACTCTTTTAATTTATTATGAATAGATTTATATCGTTTGGTTTCTGCTAATAACAAACTTTGCCATACTTTATCCAGATCAGATAAAGTCAATCCATCAGGTGCTTTATAAGGTTGTAGTTGGTATGTATTAAGTTTTGTTTGAATGTTGCCAAGCAATGTGTCCAATTCACTTTTTTCAGCCACCCAAGATCTTTTTTCAGTATATTTGTATTGATTAAATGCTGTAGATTGACTTTTTGCATCAGAATAACTCCCATCAAAATGTGGATTTGCCCAAGTATTTATCTTATCCTTGACACTTTTCATCAACTAAATTCATAAGAAAATTGAATGCCTTTAGATTTTTTCCCGAGAAAAAAAATAAATATTATTTCACATGTGTATTAAGAGTTTTATTTAGAATAATTAAATACGTTTTTAACACGCCTCTCATAGTCATGTTCCATGTCCCATACAGACTGCATAACTTCTGCAAACTTCGCCACTCTTCTTCCGGCAGTTTCTATTTTATCTTTTGAAATAATAATAATAATAAAAATGATGATAATGATAATGATATTAATATAATGGAGACTAGCTTTACTCTTGCTGCTCTAATATATTCTGATACATCATATTTTAGACATATTTGTTGGAATTGAATGATTACCTAAATGAGAAAAAGCATGAAAATAAAGTGCCACATATGTCATAATGGATCTTTCATCAGGTTTTTGAATATCACATACATCTTCAACGTCTAATAATTTCTTTTAACGTCAACAAAACAATCAATTATTCATTTGTTTTAAGAATAAGTATAAAATGAAAGCTTAATGATTAAATTAGTTATTCATCAACTTACAGGAATATCAAGATATTTTGCGGCGACTTCAAATGCCAATGAAGTATTGCTATGACGATCTGTCTATTATACATTTGATAATTAATAAAATTAAAATGAATATATATATAAATATATATACATCTCTCAATAGAAGTCACCTTATCTAGTGAGTGATAATCTAAAAGATCAGGTCGATGTCTATGGATCAATGCGCAACTAAGTTAAAGAAAATGTCAATACTTTTAAAAAACAAATAAAATTGCATCTCCTAATAAAAGAATAAAATAAAATAATTCTTACAATGCTAAACCACTTTGCCAACTTTTAATTTTTTAAGAATATTTGAAAAAAGAATTCCAAATATTAAATAATTGTATAGTAATTAACAATGTAAAATTCCACATGAATATATATATATATATATATTAATCATACCTATAAGTAAAATCTTTTACATCAACTTCAGCATAAGGAGCTGTCTTTCTTTGACACCAAAGTAATAATCCTTCTTTGGCAGTCAGACCTTCTTCACTAAATTTATTAAACATTTAAATAAATAAAAAAATTTTTAAAAGCCTTGACAATTTATCATTCACAAACCTAATATCAGCAATAGTGAATCTTAAAATAATTGTCCATATCATGCCAAGAATAAGTTTAATATTTGTATCAACAATATCTAATTATGATTTTTTTTAAAAAATATTATTAAACAACTAACTAATGAATCATTAATATTAAAAATTATTTGATGTTATATGCAATAGTATTATCTATAGAATAATTGATTATGGTCTACCTTCAGCACCAATATTTGTTAGTGGGACACCACGATGTTTAATAAATTCTAAAGCTTTATTTACATTTTCAACTTTTTGAATACGTAACTTTGGTTTTTTATTATATCTGCCAAAAGACAAATCACCAATAATTTCCTACAATTAAATCCCAATTTAAATAATTTGGTTCTACAATGTCGTTAAATGTCTATTAATTAACAAATTTACTAACCAAAAGCTCTATTAGACGTACACCATCTGAAACATCTCGATACAAATCTTCTATGGGAGGGATATCTTTTATAGCCAATTTACTGTTAAACCTTTTTTTAATGATATAGCAAGAATTATTATTATAAAGAATTATTAAATTGTCCTCATTTAAACATCAGTTAATTGCATTCACCTACCATTTAGTAAAAGTTTTCTGTTGTATAACTTCCCAGGTACGATCCATTACTTTTGCTAAACAAATATCCCAAATTTTGTTAATTGTTAATTAGCTAAAAGCTTAAAAACGTGTTTTAGTGATTATTCATGTTTTCTTATTAAACGAAATGTATTTACCTGTATCTTCGACAATCTGCTGGGAGGCCGGTAAAGGCTTAAAAGGTATTGACATTTTTAAAATTTTTATTGTAAACAATTCTTTTTGAATAAAATTTGATTTTATCTCAGAATTTGATAACGTGTAAAATTGAATTATATCATAGTTGCACACTGGTAATCAATCAGATTTTGCGCATACTGCGTCATAACTGATCATTTAGTTTTTCTCACGCGTCATTCTCTTTAAAATTAACTAATCCAAAGCAAGTTAAATGAATTGCAAGCATATCCTCTAATAGACAGGTAAAAGTTTTTTTTTTTTTTAATATTTTTCGAATTTATTCTTTTGATTGTGTAAGAACGTCAAAAGACAACATTTGTTCCTATTAAATAGATCTAAAAGAAATCGTAGAAATCGTAGACGAGTTTTACCAATATCAAACTGAAACTTCTGAGTTGTTTACTAGAAAGATACTGGATAACTGGGAAGTTCGTGATGCATTTCTAGAAAAGGATAGGGAAAATCATATTGAAAATCAGCAAGCAACTATAATCAGCTTTTGAATATGTTGGTTTGAGTAATGTGACTGAGATCTGGGCTGTGGCAGTTGGAGATTCCTTAACAGTTAAACATTATTTGGTATTGTTACAAAACAATGCCCATTTATTCTCCTGTCTTTAACCATACATCAAGAAATTGTGTACCGTCACTATTTTCAAGTTATGTTTAACAATCAAAGCTAAATTTCATATAAGGTTTATTCCTTCACATTGGTATTTTAAAGGCAAAGATGGATCAGAGTTTCTTGTAGCCGATAAGCATAAGATAATGAGATACAACAAAATATACATGCATGTTGGTTTTTTATATATGATAAAATGGATTTCCTTGAAAAAAGTCTTTAATGTCCTTGAACAAAAATTAGCGTATGGTGGATTACATGGAGTCTACAAGAAGACATTAAAAAAAGCACTGTTAACGAAAGATAAATCAGAAGAATTATTACTAAATTTTACTGATGATGATGATGATTATGTTACAGAAAATAAAGATGATAAGGTAAAGTGGATCAGCAGATACTAAACGAATAAAATAATCGCTTGAACAAGATTATATGAAAGTAAAGCAACAAAAACTGTAGTGAAATTGAACACCATCAGAAAATAGATGGCGTGATTTATTTTTTATTTGCTGATAAAATAATGTTTTCAATTGCATGTTACAAAATTTCATGTTATTGTAATGGGGTACGTATTTACCGACAGTTCATTTTACCGACAACATACGGTGCGCCATTTTAGCATTTCTTTAGTTGTTTGATTATGTGGAGGTTAAATGTAACCCCTCTAGTTGTCGGTAAAATGAATGCCTCCCATTGTAATGTTATGAAATAATTATTTGACTGAACAGTTCATATTACCTTCTCTGTGATCCAACACTTAACTATGTGTTTGTTTTTGATTATAGTTTAAATTTTTAATCCTTGTAATGAAGAATGAATCATAGAACTATTATAAATGGGTTTTTGATAACTATTAACTGTAATATTTTTTAGTATAGTGTATATTAATATAGTAATTGTGATAGATAAATTTACTCGCAACTATCATTATTATTTTTGCGAAGATGTGTTAGGAATAAATTTATTATTAAATAAAAAGTGATTACATTTTTACAAATGAAAAAAATATATTAATATATATATACTTTATAATAATAAAGAAAAAAATATCATCATAAACTTTAAGAATTCAAAGAAATCTTTTAAAAATCTTTTTCTTCTACATCAGCATACCTATAGATTTCTCTTATAATAAAACGATTAAAATCATTATCTGTCCAATAATTTTGATGACAAGTTAATGCATTAATAACACTTATATCTAAAACACCTTCCTATAATGTTGGCATGATGTTAATATATATACTAATTAACAAGTAAACATAAATATAAATACAAATACTAATATTTTTTACCTGAAGAGAATAATCAACTCTACCAGAAATATTTAATCCCTTTAATTTGTTGGCCCCTGTATTTATGTCCCTTTCTTGCTGATTGTTGTCAGCGGCAACAACTTTTTCTGTTGTTGATGATAGTGGTAATGATGATGATGATGATGATAATGATGATGATGATAAATTTTGTTCGATTGTCTTTTGAGTATTCCTTTTGAAACTAAATGTTGATTTAACTGTGGTAAATATATTTGATGCTTTATTTGCTATTCCTGAACCAAATTCTTGAAATCCTATTTGCATTCCTTTTAAACCACCTTTATAATACGGTACTAAAGCAGGCTTTAGTTGAGATGAATATTTCCTTGCTATCAATGGTTCTAAATAAGTAATATTTTTTTAGAGTTACATGATACTTATAAACTAGTAGAATAATTACTGATTTTTGTCATTTTTCTTAACTTACCTATACGATATGCAATTGGATCTTTTAAAAAGAATAATTAGTCGATTGATTGATTGATTGATTGATTTTCCCTTGTAAATTTAAAATATATGTAAAAATTACCTGCTTTATAAAATATATTGTAAATGTTTCTTACAGCAGGATAGCAATAATGTATTTTAGATCTTTTAACAAGTTTTTTATTATCTTTAATTTTTCTTCCAATTGTCTCACTCCCTTCTACTTCCTTACTTTCTTCGCTGTCATCATCTTGACTTCCTTTTATCAATCCATTTTTTCCTTCATCTTCTTCACCTCCTTCACCTTGAATCCCTTCTAACTTTTCTACGCCATCTTCACCTGCTCTTTCACCTTGACTTTCTTCTGACTTTCCTACTCCTTCATCTAGACTTTTTCCTAACGTTTCTCCTGTATCTTCTTCACCTTCACCTTCACCTTTTAATACTTCATGACGTACACTTTCTTCTTTTGCTCCTTCACCCTGACTTCCTTCTGACTTTTCTACTCCTTCTTCATCTTGACTTTTCCTTAACGTTTCTTCTATATCTTCTTCACCTAATACTCTACGACGTACATTTTCTTCTTTTGCCTCCTCTTCATATTCTTTTGACGACTTTTTTTTAGCAACCTTTAATCCTTTTAATAATAAAAATGCTCCAAGTGGTGATCCAACAGCAAAAAAATTATATACTTTAAAATCTAACTTGATATTTTCTGATATGATTATTTTTTCTTCAAACACACCATAACTATTTGATATTTTTGGTAATGGTGGTTGATGGCACAACACATCAAATGCTAATATTGAACCTAATGAATGTCCACAGAATGAAACTTTACCATTATTCTCTAAAAATGATGGATTATATTTGATAAATAAATTATAAACTCTGTTGACTTCTTTCGTCACTGTTCTAAGCATCATTTCTCTATATCTTGGCGTCATATATAGTAAAACTACATAATAATAACAACAACAATATTATTATTATATATAATATTAAATTAATTATTAAATTTTTAGTTTTATTATTATTGTTGTTATTATTATTATTATTATTATTACCATCCATCAATACATCAGACATCAACGTACGAAATGATGGCACACCTTCAATTGTAATTTCATCAATGGTTGCCTGACCTTCATCATCGTCATCATTGTCACTATCATAATCTAAGTAATCATCATCATTTGATCCAACTCCAAACTAAATGATGATAATAATAGAATATTAATTAATAAATTGTTTAAAATTTCTATATAAATAATGATTTTACACACTTTAATTTCTTTTCTCCATTGAATTGGCAAAACTTGTATGCCGTTTAATTTTTGAATATAATTTAAATTACTGTTACTTGGCATTTTTTGACTGATTTCTAGTGGTGGATATTGTGTGAATGTTTCTCTTAGAGATGCTCTAAATTTATTAATCGCTTAATAAAGAAGAAAATTATCATTATTGACCGATTGATTAATTATAAATTTTTCTTCTATTATAATTTACATAGGTTATAAATTATGAAATTTTGAAATATACCAGAAACAAAATTAACTGATGGCATCTTTTCACTCAATTTTTGTCCGATTCTAACCAAATAATCAATAACCAATATTATTATTATTAATTAATAAAAATTTTGATAAAATCACCAATTAAGATCATTAATTAATTAATTAATTATTATATCATTGTTATTTTTACCCATGAATCACCAATATTAAATGATTTATATTTCTTTTATCTTCTGGTGTCTCAATTTCTTCATAATCAATAAATTCTTTAAACCTTTCATCATTCAACTTAATAGAATTAACCTTCTTATTTTGTGAGTTTGATTCTTTTATTTTATTCTCTAATTCTTTGATTGATTTTTTATTCTTAAATTTCACCACTTCGCTAAAACCTCTGATCAATCTTATTCCACCTAAATTTTCACCATTTGTGAATTTGGAATAAATACTTTTTGTAAATTTTCCAGCCAAGTCATCACTATATACACAATAAATTTTTAAAAATAAGTATAAAAATAATATATTTATTTTAAATATTTTAATATTTATTATTGTGTTTACTTCTTACATCATTAACCATGCAATTGACGAGCTTGTATAAATAACATATTGTGATTCATATCCATCAATTAATCTATGAATTTTCTCTGATAATTGTGGAAATTTCGGATCGGTTTCTTCTTCTTCTGATTCATTTATTAACGAAATCCATGCCTTTTCATTTATATAACCTTCTTCGATTTGTACAGCCAGTGTTTCATCACATGGTAAAAAAATGCCACCATCATCTTCATAAAACCATGTTGCACGTACGACTAGATATATCGGACCAATCCAATATATCTAAATAAAAATAAATTTTAATATTTACTTCTTTATTAAAGATTAGCAATACATACTTACAGGAAGAAGTTCACGTCTATCAACATCAACTTCATACAAACAATCTTCATTGCATGCAATTTTGACTCCTGCTTCACCTGACATATATGCTCCTTCTAATGCATTGGAATCACTTTTTGAAAATGGTAAATATACTTTGGGGTATTTATCGTCTTTGTCTGTGGGCTGGTTTAAACTTTTACTAGGATCGCGTAGCGGTATATCTGTCGCGTAGAACCAGCGAGGAACAAGTACTGGATAAGTTTGAGAGTTTATTATAGAAATATTATCCGATGACATTTAAACTTTTGTTTCCCACGTATCACGGATCTACAAGAAAATTCGTAAAATAAATAAATACGTACTAGTATTATTATATATCAATCAAAAAATTTAAGCTCTCTGTCCTATCTGTCATCCATCAGTGTTTGGTAACATGTTCCAAATAATTTCCATATTTAGTTTAATGCATTTTTTCACGGAATATTGAGAAAGAAATTTTTATGACGACTAAAAAAAAAAAACAATGAACAAAATTATTCCCAAGGGCAAATATTTGTCTTTGTTAAGTTGTAATACATAATTAACATTTGGGTGGAGAATTTCGTTTTCACGCACAACATCTTTAAAATAATGAGTAAAATGTGATTTTTTATTATTCCCGTTGCACTATGACAGTTTTTTCATCATTGATATTTCTCATCCTTCAAAAATCTCTCTGTATCAATAAACTAGAGATATTATACTACACTATATTCAAAAAATGGAAATAATATCTTCTTTCTTTTTCATGGATTAATAGCATTTCGAAAATGTGATTTTGTATTACACCCGTTACGTTATGGTAATTTTTGAACATGATTTTTTCACCATTGGTTTATCGATACAGAAATTATGTTCAGAAATGGAAATAATACCCTCTTCTTCATGGACTAATATTAATATAGTTACATTTCGAAACGTGATTTTTTATTATGCCCATTGCATTATGACGATTTTTGATCATGATTTGATTTTTTCACAATTGGTATTTGTTACCCTCAAAAATTTCTCTGTGCCGATAAATATATAACATTTCGAAAATATTACTATTTTGTCGATTGTTGAATATACTGCGATACCCCAATACTTGATGTTTCGGTGGTTGTAATCCTAACCTTTTGCTTCCCGCATCTTACATTCTGAATTGGTGAGATGGCTTTTTGGTAACTTCCTATTTCGTTCCTCTCCAGAGCATTAGGCCTAAATTTGAGTGCTTTATTGTTGCCCCAGAACAAAAAAGTATTAGGTAATAGTAAACAAATAAATTTGATACATTTCGTTTTCGTTTAATACTTTTATTTTCTTTTTAATTATGAGGGCACAACTTTGCTGGGTTGCCTACGCCGGTGGTAGGTTTACTTACTTAGATTATAATAGGAATATCTATATAGGAGATAATGCCGTAACATCATGTCGGTCGGCCACAGTGCGATATCCAAGTTATATCTTGGTGGCCACCAACTTCATTTGTACTTCACTTATTTTGAGGTTATTCATTAAAATAGTTTTGGTATATGCAGGAACCCAAGAAATAATTCACATCAAAAGATTAGATATAAAGGGTCAGCTCACGGATTATATATAATTAGTGACTGATGATCTGTATACATAATTTCTAAATTTGGTAATAGATTTCCGCATTACCTTCTGGTTATAGAAATAAAATTACCATTACCCAATTTAGGTACGTAGTAAATGGCTTAGCCGGCTAAGGATTTTTAAACGGCTAACATCACATCATTAATACAGTCAGGGAGATTTCCAAATTTGGAATTTCCAAATACTGTAATGATTAACATTCTAGATTCATTGTGTAATTCTAAAAAAGAATCAAAACAAAAAATGATTGGCTAAATTTATGCAGATCCTTTCATATATAAATTAAAATAATGCAAACCCGTTGAGTTTTAAATTACATACATTAATAAATACCAGGCTCTGATATTATTGAAACTATAATAAAGTTAATAAATAAGAATATATATATGAATT